ATCGCCGGGAACAAAGTCAACTAGCTTAGTCTCCTCGGCCAATTTAAATTTTAGTGCCGGATCATGCTCTGTAGTTGGCTTTTTCAGAGAAGTCATATATGTCGGATCGACATTGTCTTTATAAAACTTCAGCTCCTCTGTGGCACAAACCAACTCAACATAAGCCGCATCACCCTCTTCACATTCCAAAGCAATTTTCAAGCTCCCATGTACTGTGATGGTCCCTTTATGACCCGACATCTTGAACTGCAGATAAACATAACAAGGCCTTGCCATGAACTTAGCATAAGTCGGTCGTTCGAACAGGGCATGATATGGACTCTTGATTTTCACCACCTCAAAAGTCAACACCTCCGATCTTGAATCATGATCATCTGCAAAAGCAACCTCCAGAGCTATCTTGCCAACTGGGTATGCAGATTACCAGGCACCACACCATGAAACACGATGTTCGACGGTTTAAGATTCTTATCTCTTAACCCCATGCGACGGAAGGTTTCATAGTAAAGGATATTGATACTGCTTCCTCAATCCATAAGCACCTTGGTAAACTTATACCCCCCAACCTGAGGTGCCACCACCAAGGCCAGATGACCCGGATTGTCAAACCAGGGCGGATGATCTTCTCGACTCCACAGAATTGGCTGTTCAGACCAGCACAGATAATGAGGTACCGCCGGTTCAACGGAGTTCACGTCCATTTTATGAAGCTTTTGATCGCGCTTACATAAGGTAGTGGTGAAGACATGATACTGCCCACTATTCAACTGCTTCGGATTGCTCTAATAACCCGATTGTTGCTGCTGTTGATTCCCCTGATGGTTGTAACCTCCCTGGTTACCCTGACTGCATTGATTGCCATGTCCGGTTTGGTTGCCTTGGAATCCTGAACTGGAGCTGCTACCTCTATAACCCGGCCCATGGAAACCGCCTCCTGAACCGCCGGCCAGTCCATTGTCGTATTGAAAGAGATTTGAATTTTTGAACTCCGGCATAATGAAGCAATCCTTCCAAAGATGCATAGCTGGCCTCTCCTTTGATCCATGCTTTGGGTAAGGCTGATTTAACAAGCGCTCTAGATTGGGTCCTGACCCTCCACCCCGCTGCGGTGGTTTACCCTTACGCCGCTGACCGTTATCCTGGGTGTTGGTGTTAGCCACAAAGTCCAAGCTATTATCCGCCTTGCGTTTACCGTTGTTCCCATGACCCGTCGGGTTATGTTGCTGCCCTTTGGTGCTGCCGCTCTTCTTTCCCTTCCCTGTCTTGTCATCATCAGACTCGGGGTCTTTGGTACTGTCGGAGTCGGCATACTTCAGCAGAGCTGCCATAAGTGTTCCCATGTCATTACAATGGCGTTTGAGACGTCCCAACTTTAGCTTCAAAGGTGCAAACCGGCAATTGCCTTCCAATGTTAAAACGGCTGTGTCAGCGTTGATGCGGTCTGATGAATGCAAAATCTCCGAAACCCGGCGTACCCAGCGGGTTGTTGATTCTCCTTCCTCCTGGACACAGGCAACTAAATCCACGATTGACATGGGCTGCTTGCACGTATCCTTAAAATTCTGGATAAACTTGGCCCTTAACTCGGCCCACGACCCAATAGAGTTGGCCGGCAGATTTTTCAACCATGTGCGAGCTGTTCCCTCCAACATCATGGTAAAGTATTTGGCACACGCCGCTTCGTCCACATCCAGCATCTCCATTGCCATCTCATAGCTTTCCACCCATGATTCGGGAGATAAATTGGTGGTGTAATTCGGCACCTTCCGGGGGCCTTTGAAATCCTTGGGTAGCCGTACATTGCGCAATGCTGGGACGAGACATGGTACCCCCAATGAACTGGAGGTAACCACTGGTTCCACCGACGTTGTTGGACGAACCGGAGTGAGTTGGCGGGCCTCATGTTGCGCCGCTAACTCGGCCTCTCGACGTGCCCTAGCGCGATCCACTACATCCTGAGCATTGCCACCGCCGCCCGCCAGGTTATGGCCACGGGGCGGATTACGATTCCGCGCGCTGCTTGATCGGGCCGGTTCATTTATGAATAAGCCTGCTGCTGAGTCAAGGCCGTCTGAAGGAGCTCCCTAGTCCGTCGTGTCTCAACTGCTACCGGGGACTCGCCACGATCGGGAGGGCCGCCAATCGTGAAGCGGCAGCAACGATGTTATCCAATAGGTTAGAGTAATGACCCGGAGGCGTTGAGACGTATCGTGATGGGACATCATTCTGACGAGGCTGAGGCGGCGGCTCCATCACGCGCGCCTGAACCGGTCCCCTGGTCCCAGGTGCCTCCGCCCGGTTTACCACTGGCTGGTTGCTGGTGTCTGCTCCTGGCGTGTTAAAGAGATTTCTTGCCACGTGGCAGAAGGTGCGACCGGTATCTTCTCCTCATGACATCATCTGACGCACTCTAATCCAGCATAACCCGGTAAGCCTGAGCCTCTAACTTGGCCCGCTCTGTAGCCATCCTGGTGTTCTCCGCCGCCAGGTCCGCTTTAGCCTGAGTTATCTGATCCTTCACCTTTGCAATCTCCGCGTTGTGTTGATCCCGGTTTGCCGCGTCCACCTCTGCTGCCAGCAACATTGCCAAAGCGTCGAACAAATCAGACAAAACCTGAACCGGAGGCGTCGTAGAGCCCCCTGCTCCCGCTGGTGTTACTGCTGCTGAACCGGAGATCATTACTGCGGCGGTAGAAGAGTGTTGTGCTGCTTGTGTGCTGGCCATGAAGACCGCGACCCGACTCGGCGGATCAAGGGGGTCCGGAATAATGTGGCCATCGGAACCACCACTAATCCGGCCATCCTGCAGCTGATACAGTGACTCGGTCTCTCCGGTTGAAGACTCTTCATCATAATAGACAACAGTTTCGCCACCAGATGCCGATCTATCCTCATATTCTGCTCCATGGATGAGACCTACGCAGGCATGCCTTACGGCGGGCTGAACCTGGGCAGACCTTGCACGCTGAGCCGTCTCGATGATGTTGGTGCAGATGTCCGGCTTAGGGCCCGGTTCACCGATCTTGCCGATGAAGACGTGAATTCCACCAAAGGGGACCCGGTACCCGTACTCAATTGGGCTGGCCTTGGGACTCCATCCTGCATCATCGATATAGAGCTTGCCGCGACGACTTTTAGTCATCCGGCCCACAACGTATCCCTTAAGTCCTTCAAAGCTGCCCTTCACGAACTCGAAACCATCGTGCGATAGCCCCACGGTGGGCGCCAATTGTCGTGGTTTTGTCACGGCAGATGTCCTCGTGGAGCCATTGTGATGGGTTAGCTTAAAGGGGTTAAAGCGGACAAGGGACGCAAGAGTTATACTGGTTCGGCCCCTTTCGGCGAAGGTAAAAGCCTACGTCCAGTTGTGATGGAATTGTTTTGGTTTCGATGACTAGGGAGCGAATCCGCTTTGCCTGGCTCTCGAGTTATTGTGTGTTGTCCTTAAACCGCCGCCGGGTCGCCCATTTATATACATAGGTCGACGCCCGTCGGTTTACAGAATCCCGATGCCGGATCATAAACGTGTCTGGCTCGGTCTCTATTCCTTCTATCTTACAATACAAGTTACATATCAATGTCGGTTTATGTCTACAGGCCTTAACCCGCCTTTGGGCCTTGGGTCTTCATGAAGCGCCACCATCCTTGTCTTCATGGGCTACAAATAAAGTAATCATCATGGGGATAACCCGGCGTCTCCTGGCCGATTTATGTCCAATAGTAATATCCCCAACAGCTGGGAGGATGAGACGAATAGTAGATATATAAGGATAAGGACATGGACATAGTATGATGCTCGGTTCATTTCACACATGACACGTGTTGAACATTGGAAGCGGCAGACGCAATGCCTGTAATCCACCAGGTGATGGGAATCTATGCTACGCGTCCGTCGGTGGGTTAATTGAAAACATCCGCCGCCTCCTACGTCGTTGGACTGAGCCACAAATAGCTATCAGATCCCCCCAATGAGGTGCGTCGTCAATTGCAACCAGGTAGATGTTGCACAGCTCGCTCTGCAACAATTGCTTTGTTGCAAACCACCAAAGCGTTATTTTCTCCCAAAATTTTTAGTTTTGTCTTCAATTTTTTTTTGCAACATAGATGATGTTGCGGGAGGACTTTTGCAATAGACGTGGCGTCGCAGTTTTTTCGTCTTCATAGTTTTTTCAGCATAGACGATATTGCAGGAGGTTTTTTGCAAGACTAATGTTGCAAAAAAATTACACCGAAAAGCTGATATCATTTGTGGTGTGAATCGAGAAATTTTTGCAACAGAGATGATGTTGCGCGGAAGGAATTTTACAACAAGGCCCTTGTTGTGGAAAGTATAATAAAATATCGTCGGAAGGAGCGATCACAGACAGCGAGAGGGGAGGCCGAAGCGGCGCAGCTCGCTGATGGTGGCTGGAGCACGGCTCAGGCGAGCAGGCATATGGAGATGGGAAAAGGAGGAGTTGGAGAGGAAGAGGAGAGGAGAAAGGACGGCCAACGGTGTCCTCCTACGATCACCGGCGGCGGACTCGAGAGAGCGGCTTGCAGTAGTGTGTAGGACGACTGGCTTGCCGCGGCACTGGTGGCGTGTGGCGATCCTCGAGCACGGCTGAGAGAAAGATGCGAAGAGTAGATAAGGATAAGGACAAGGATGTAGTATGTTGCTCGGTCCATTTCACGCAGGACACAGTGCCTGTAATCCACCGGGTGACGGAAATCTTTTCCTATTAAACTACGGAAATACAAAACATATAAGTATGGCAACATCACTGCCGTCTTGTTGTCTTGTTTGGAGACGAATGTGGCCAAATAATTTGATGTGGCGATAAGAAAATGATTTGTCGATCGAGTTGTGTATACGCCGTGGTTGCAGCCACAACACAAGTTGTACCGGGAGCAATATGCTCCATGTGCATCGCCACTCTTCTCTATCTATTATAAGATGCACCTTGTGCTACCGCTACCTTATCCCTGCTCATACCTTGGCTTGGACTGTTTGCCGTACAATGTCCTCCTCCTCCTCCACCCCAGCCATTCTGCCGCAAGAGGGCGATGCCGAAACCAACGAGGAGCTCTACGGGCAGTTCACCGAGCTGGCGTCCTCCTGGCCGTGCTCCCGGGGCCTCTCCAGGGCGAACCTGCTCTACCGCCACGAGAAGGGCTGGTACAGCACCCTGCCTCCGATGGTCGGCGCGATGGTCGCCGACGCACGCTTCGCCGCGCGCCCCTCGGACGTCGTCGTCGCCACCATGCCCAAGTCCGGCACCACGTGGATGAAGGCGCTCCTCTACTCCACGGTCCACCGGAGGGAGCACGCCCCGGGCGGCCCCGGCCACCCCTTCAACTCCGTCGGCCCGCACGAGTGCGTCCGCCACCTGGAGTACCAGCTCTACACGCGCAACAGGGTCCCGGACCTCGCCGGGCTCCCGGACCCGAGGCTCCTCGCCACGCACGTCCCGCTCGCGTCGCTGCCGAGGTCGGTCGCCGCGTCGGGGTGCCGGATCGTGTACGTGTGCCGCAACCCAAAGGACATGCTGGTCTCGACGTGGAGCTTCGTGAACAAGTTCAGGGCCGAGGACGGGCTGGAGCCGATCTCGGTCGAGGCCGCCGCCGGCTACTTCTGCGACGGCGTGTCGGCGTCCGGGCCGTACTGGGACCACGTCCTCGGGTACTGGCGCGCGCACTTGGCGAACCCCGAGCGGGTGCTCTTCTTCAGGTACGAGGAGATGAGCCGGGACCCTGCGGCGCACGTGCGGAGGCTGGCGGAGTTTGTCGGACGCCCGTTCAGCGCGGAGGAGGAGGAAGACGGCGCGGTGGACGCCGTCGTCAAGCTGTGCTCGTTCGAGCACATGACCGGGCTCGAAGCGACCAAGAGCGGCAAGACGGAGCTTGTGTTGGGCGCTGTGGAGAACAGCTCGTTCTTCCGGCGCGGCCTGGTCGGGGATTGGGAGAACCATCTATCGCCGGAGACAGCACGAAAAATTGACGCCATTACCGACGCTAAGTTCAGGGCTTTCGGTCTCTCTGTCTAGCTAGCATTCGATATCCACGTGTCATCCATATTCGCATCAGTTTGTCTAATTCACATCTAAATGTTTTTTAAGAATGTCACATCTAACCTCCCACAAGTATATAATGCATCAACAAGAAACAAAAAAAACTATGACAAAAAATAGACTATAAACAGAGTGAAAATCAGCTTAGTTGTGACATAACTATGTCACATCTAGATGTGTCCTAAACAGACCCTATTCGCATACGTGTGCCGCTAGTATATGTCAACAAGACAACGGGGAGCAGCATTTTGTTTTAGAAAAAGAGTTTAACCCTGGCCTCTGCATCGATGCACACAGCTATTTTATTAAGAAAATAGGTTCAAAAATCTCCTCAAGTAGTCTCAAAAGATCATGAAGGAAATGCCACATGCGGCCAAAAATATAAAAAAGTCACAACCGGCTATAATAAATTAAAATGTTTATACATCTAGTCTATTACTGAACCGCCGTCTATATCGGTTATATATATCACGTGTAACAAGGGAGCAGCATATTGTGTTGATATTGAAATTGCGCCCGCAAGTTTGGAATTATGGATTGGGGGGCCAGGCAGTACTGATTAGAGCGTCTCTCCAACGCTAGTCCCATTTTAGAACTCCGGAAGAAAAAATAGAGATGCTTATACATTTCCCTCCAGAAAAAGAGATGCTTATACATTTTCAGCCTCTAAATACTACACTCAACTCTAATAGCAACCTTCATCTTCTAGCCCCCATTTTTCTTCCCTAAGAGCATCCCTAGCAGATCTGCTATATCCTCGCCCGTTCCTTATAATTCTGATGGTTTTAAAGTTCTTGACCTTTTTCAGGCCTGAACAAATCCCGTAAAAATGGCCTGACCCATAAAAATTATGCAGGCGGCCCGCAAATCCCCCTCCGCCACTATATGTACAGGTCAGGGCGTTTTAGGGTTCACGTCCTGGATATTCTCCACCCCCTCCAGCTTCTTCTTTCTCTCCGATGAGCGATTTCGCTCGATTCTTTCCTTTTCTCGCAGATCCATGGCCAGAGGTTCTCACGGGCGTGGGGTCCACGGTGGGTCGCCGCCGTGCACGACGCGGAGGCCACCAGCTCCAGCCGGCCGCTCGAGCCATGGCATTACAATCAGGTCCGCGAACTCGGCTGCCACTGCTGCAGTGAAGGCTGGAGCGCGTGGGCTCGCTTCTACGAGCTTGACGAAGCATTTTTTGCCGCACACCAAGAGGTGTCGGGAAGTGGATGAGGAGCTCCTCGCTGCGAGGAACACGGTGGCGGCCGGAGAAGAAGTAGCCGCCAAATGGCTCGCCGCCACAAAGGAGGACCACACGGTCGGAGGAGGCGTTCTACCTCGGCGTCAACTACTGAGTCGACCTTTCCTAGGTTTAAATTTGTTTGACCTATGTTTTGTGCTATGTATGTTGTACGAGGAACTCCGGTTGTGTTGCTTGGAACTTTGTTGCGTAAACTAGATTTTAAATATGCAGTACATTTGATTGGATCTATTCTGCTAGGAGCTTCGAGGTCCCGCAAAATCATTTTAGGGGGCAGTACCGATTTATAGCACAACTGCTAGGGATGCTCTAAGACTGCCACGTGGGACCAACATATCAGAATTTAAATTTCCCCCCTCTTTTCCAATGCCTCATTGGCCTCCAACTACAACAAAGACACCAGGGGCTTGTTTGGTAAGCTGCACCATTTTTTGTCCCTTTGCATGTGTAACTTAACTCAGCCTCGCTGAGCAAATGCAGCCTAAAAACCATGTTGTGCATGTAGTTTGGTAGCCTACGTTGCATCAGTGACCAGATTATGCCTCCTATTTGGTGGCCTGCATTTGTGCTTCATGGGTTAGAAGATGCAAATCACCACTGTTTGGCTGTGTGCACTGCGATGTTCTGATCACCCCTTTTAAATGTGGTGGCCTTACCATCCAAATGCAACACACTTCATAATAGACGTCACATATGAACATCAACATAATTAACACTACTCTTACACCATTAACACACAATATCAGTGCATACCACAGATTACACACTACCACATCAGTTTAAAAGACACCCCCTGCACAACCCCAAGGCATTGACACTTGGGCAAAATATTACAAGTTTAATAGAAAACTGACGACCGACGACAAGTTCAGAACAATTCCAACACTAGACAGTTAATTCATACACACACAAACTAGGGAGGAGGAAGAGCACGACTGATGTCGCCCTGACTCTGCAGATGGTGGAGGTGCCGGCGCTGTAGATCTGCACCATGAAGCCTAGGCCCGACAGCCTCAGGACAAGCAGGTCGCAAGGGACGATCTTGTGCTTCTGGCAAAAGTAGTCCCAGCAGCTCCCGAGCATCATCTGCTCATGGAAGCTGGACCTGGATCCAGAACTCACACCATTTGTTTGCAGATAGCGAGAGGACGTGAGGAGAATTTAGGACGAACCATTTCTTCATCACGAGATGGAAGACCTCATGGATGACAAGCATGGAAATGTCTTCGACGTCCATTATTGGTACATAGAACGTGAGTGTCTTCCATGCCCCCTACTCGTGGCCAAGCCTAGGCATGCGACTAATACACATCGGCTTGCTCATTCAGCTAGCCTGCTCGTCACGTCCACCCACTTGAGCCACTAGTTTGCCGGGATGATTTCCTCGCCCCCCCTCGGCACGAGCGATGACCACGCACCTTGACCTACAGTCTCCATGTCCATCTTCACTACCTTGTGAGTTTAGTGGATGACAGTAAGTAACTAGTGAAGGAGGCAATGATGCATTGATCATAGAAATGCCAAACTGCATTCAACCATGATTAGTGCACCGTTGCTATGATTACAACACCATAGAAGTGATAATAGCAATGGTGCATTGATCATGGTAGAATGTAGTTGTGCATTGCTATGATCAGTGACCAATTGCACTGATCATAGAACTGCCATGATCGTTGGCAGTTGCACTTGGGTAGTGCTATTATTTGATCATAGCATTGTCCAATTGCAACTACCACTTATCATGTTAATTGCAATTGGGCAGTGCTATGATCAGTACATCATAGAACTCCCCCAAATGCACGCACATCAGTCCTACTATTTATAGCATGCACATGCATTATCCTTCTATGATCATGCAAGAACGTAGTACCTACTATGTGATGGTGCATACACACTATAGTGATCATACCAACGACCTAGCAACTATTTTGATTATAACAACAACCTAACTAGCATCGTGATCAACCAAGAACGCCCTAACTGGCATTGTGAGCATACCAAGAACACCCTAACTACGAATGTAGCATTGTCATGATAGCAATGCAAAAACATAACTACCAATCTAGCATTGTCATGATAGCTAGTAAGCACTCTCTAAGAAGGCACATAACATGGCTCCTAATCGATTCAAATGGGTTGGGTTCAAAACAAATCCAATTGATTTAGAACGAACAGAAACCCCTAACTAGTAACGGGAGCATGGAGAAATGATAGCATACCGAAGCGGTTGCCGCCGACGGGAACACTGGTCATGGACCAAACCTTGCCGGGAATAGGGGTCTGATGCTCTGATCCGACCTTGCTTCCTTTGGCTTGACACCGAGAAAGGGAGAAAGACCTCGCATGAGGGTAAACCCCCCTATCGGGCATGCCCGATGGTCTTCCAGCAACCCACGTGCTTCCCGTAGAGCCACCTCCGCAGATGCACTGATCGGCACGAATGCTAGCAGTGAGTCAATGGCTACTGAATGTGGCCTGGTGCAGTTGGGGGAAGTGACCTGGATAGCCGCCCTGAGGTCAATTCCTTGCTAGGCCACGACAACCACTCACTAGACTTGGATGGGGCCGCTACCAATGGGGATGGGAGTGGGGCGCCGCGATTGAGGGTTGGCCATCGGAGAACATGAAACGGGCGATGAGATAGAGTGAGGGAGAATGGTGCGAATTGGAGTAGGCGGTGGTGGGAGAGAGGTGGTATGAGACCCCTCGCTGTCTCCCACGCTTCCCAACACACGCTGGTGAGAGCTTGGCTCATGAAAAAGGCTGAATCGGTCATTTCCCCCAGTTTGGGCCGAGACTGCTTTAAGTTCCACGCATGTCGAGAAACACATATAGGCCAGACTACCAAATGCCTGATTTTTTGCAGTGCATGGGCCTAGTTGGTGTTGGGAAACGTTGCATGGAAAACAAAAACAAAATTCTATGCACACGTAATGATCTATCCATGGAGATGCATAGCAACAAGGGGGAGTGTGTGCCTATGTACCCTCGTAGATCGTAAGCAGAAGAGTTTCTCAACACGGTTGATGTAGTTGAACTTCTTGGCGCTTCATCCGATCAAGTGCCAAACGCATGACACCTCCGTGTTCTGCACTCTTTCAACTCAGTGAAGTCCCTCGCCTTCTTGATCCAGGAAGACGTCGAGGTAGTAGATGAGTTTCCTTAGCACGACAGTGTGGTGACGATGATGGTGAAGTGATCCTCGTTGGGCTTTGCCTAAGCGCTACGAAAATATGACCGAGGGTGTAAACGGTGGAGGGGGGCGCCACACACGGCTAGGTAATTGTCTGGTGTGTGCTAGCCCCCCTCCCCTACATATATATAGGTTGGAGGGGGAGGGGAGGCAGCCAGGAGGCGACCAAGTAGTTCGAATCCTACTTGGGGTCTTCCCATGGCCAATGCCCCTTCCTTATTTATCAGAGGGGGAAGGAAAGAGGAGGGGGGAGGGAAGGAAGGGGGAGGCCGAATCCCCGCCTTTCCTTCTCCCTTCCCTCTTTCCTTATCCTCTGGTTCGACCCATATGGGGGCGCATCAGCCCCTTGTGGCAGGTGCGTTTCCCCTCTTGGTCCATAAGGCCCATATCTTTTGCCGGGGGTGTCCGAATTCCTCCTAGTGACCCGATATGTACCCGGTACCCCCCGGAACACTTCCGGTGTCCGACTACTATCGTCCTATATATCAATCTTTACCTCTCTACCATTTCGAGACTCCTCGTCACGTTCGTGAT